ACTTTTTAAATTTTAAAAGAAGAAAATGATTATTTAAAAAAAACCCAAAAGTTTAAAATTTTAATTTTTAACATAATAAAACAATAAATTTCCATCAATCCTATCCTTTGCTAACTCATTTATGGTATGTGTATCTGTCTTACTCATTCATTACTCATAATATATACAAACCATCAAAATGTTTTACCCAAGATGTAAGTTACCAAGGCCTTGATAGCTTAGCTAGTGTTCTTTGGTTGGCCTAGTCTAAGGATAACGATGGCTCAGATATCTAGTCATGTTTTTCTAGAGTACCTACAACTGCATTGCTGACCATTCATCTCTTCTGTCACTTTAAGCTGTTCACATTCACTATATCTTGTACTCCTTTCTCTTTCTCAACAATTAATGAATCTTCTTACCTATCTGAATCTTGTACATATTCTACTTTTTTAATATTTATTTTTTAATTTGTTTTAATTAGTTATACATGACAGTACAATGGTACATATTCTACTTTTTGTAAACTAATTTTCGCACATATATAGAAACTATATTATATAAGCCAATAAATTAAGGTATTGAACATTAATGTGAGGATATCATTAGTATATTAAATTGATGGACTAAATACTAAATTAAGGAGTTGAATTTATATATCAATCAGGTGCAATGTGATGTAGAAATGAACTTTAGAAATTATGCGTGCGTTGTGTGGCAGTGGTGGCCTGAGAGAATCCAAGTAGTTTAAGGTGGAGATGTATCCCCAACCCTAGGTTGCAATAAGCACCCTAACTGTGCCCAATAGACCCATAGCTGCTCCTGAGTCAGAAGGCCTGGACCATGTTCAGAGAGCAGACGACAAAAGCTCAAGGAACATTTGTTAACAAAACAAAAACAAAAAACATTTTGCATACAAACAGAAAAATCAGATATCCTGTAGAGGACAGAGAATAATGACATCTGAGGACCAGGTCAAAGGGACAAAAATTCTGAAACTTAAACAAAAATGGGTAAAAAAGAAAATATCAAAAGAAGCATGCCTCTAATCCCAGTGATACGACAGGTTGAGGCAGAAGGATCCCAAATTCAGGGTCAGCCTAAGTAACTTTTATGTCTCAATAAATTAAAAGGAGTGGAGATGAGGCTGGGGTTGTGGCTCAGCAGTAGAGCGCAAGCCTAGCACACGCGAGTTGCTGGATTAGATCCTCAGCACCACATAAAAATAAATATATTGTGCCCATTTACAACTAAAAAAAAAATTACAATAAATAAATATCTTGGCTACTTGGGAGGCTAAGACAAGAGGATCACAAGCTTGATCCCAGACTGGGTAACTTTGAAAAACCCTGTCTTAAAATAAAAATAAAAGGGATGGGTTATAGCTCCAGGGCACAGTGCCCCAGGGTTCAAATCCCAGTACCACATTCAATCAATCAAAATAAAAAAATACAATAATGTAAAAAAAATGTATTTCTTTAAAACCTTTTAATGAGTTAACCAATTCTACTACTGCAACTGAAACATAATTTTGAGGATGACAAACTCTGCAGTCATTACAAATTAAGGTGATCCCCAAAGTCAAAATAAGACATTAAAAGCCAGGTATTTCACCCTAAAAGCAATAATAAAAAGTAACAAATGACTTCAGAGAAACCAAAGCAAGATGTTATACACCCAAGAAACTTGTACTAGGATCTTATCTTGGCCAAAATATTCAGTCTAAGATTAATTGATTTAGAAAACCTCTACAAGTCAAAGAGTTGTGCAACTACACAGATTTTCAACTACTCTCTCTAAAGCCACAAAGCCTTAGCCTGTAAACACCAGTAATGGGAAGTGAAAGAGGAGCCTCCAGTATGAATGCTACCATTAAATTTGTAAGTACTACATCCCAGAACACAACATATGTGACATCCTATTAGAAGTCACCATAATAATACCCAGGATATCATGAAGTAAGGAACCGGCAGAATCCCTGCTAGTGTTAAAATTCAAAAAGGGCCTCATGAAAAAGAATTATTACAGTCAAAAATGATTTTCTCTAGTGTCAAACCAGTTCTCAGAACATAAAAAGAAATAAGGCATTACCATAGCATCTGAAATTGTAGCCAGGCCTGCTTCATCGTCTAATATCGAACTGATAGAAAAGCTAAAAAAAAATACACCAGTAAAGACATACTAGAATAAAAGCAATTGTTGAGAGAATCAGCTCAGTCCAGAGAAACTGCAGAAAAGAGAAAAGCTCATCTGAGTGATTGGAAAGCTGGTAAAGCAAAAGTGATGAAGAGCTATCCTAACTCAGTAGTTACCCAGCCTGAGCCTAAGTTCAAAATGAAAAATCATTTGGGTCCTGTCAGGACTACCATGGCAAAAGAAGAGAAACAAAGATTGCTTATGGAAAAAATTCTAAATAAAACATCTTTTGAATGCCTGAACATAATTAAAAAGGGATGCCTCAAAGAAGAAATGTTACAAACATTGAATAATCTGGTCAAAATATATCAGTTGCATTATGAGAAAATGAGGTTTTAAAGATAAAATTTATGTTTTTACATTGACCATTTATCTATCTATCTGTCTGTCTGTCTGTCTATCTATCTATCTATCTATCTATCTATCTACACCAGGGATTGAATCTAGGGGTGCTTTACCACTGAGCTATACCATTAGCCTTTGGGTCTCACCAAGTTGCTGAGGGGCCTCGAACTTGAAATCTTGCTGCCTCAGCATCCCAAGCTGCTGGGATTACAGGTAAGTGCCACCACACCAGCAAAAATTTTTAAAATAAGTCAATGTCATCTGGGCATGACGGTGCTCACTGTAATGCCAGCAACAAGGGAGACTACGGTAGGAAGACTGTAAGTTCGATACCAGCCTTGGCAATCTGATGAGATACTGTCTCAAAGTAAAATGGGCTGGGGGTATATGTCAGTGGTAGAACACCCCAGGACTCAATCTCCAAAACTAACAAACAACCACCAAAACCAAATTTATAATATACCTTCCTGCTTTTAAAACAGAATGGCCACCCGCCCCTTTCTTTGATTAGTATGAAAGTAAAAATGAGGCTGGAAGTATAGCTAATTGGTAGACTGTATTGCTGAACATTCCTGAGGCCCTAGGTTGAATCCCTTATGGAACAAAGAAAGATCAACCCACTTCAAATGTTATGGGTTATGAAGTTTTCCACCAAACTTAATTTAACTAGACTGTTGTGCTCTGTTTTATCCCTTAAAATGCCTATGGTTCTTCATTATCTCTTTGTGTTTGTTTTTGGTACTGGAGATTTAATACAGAGGCACTTTACCATTGAGCCTCATTCCTAGCCCTTTTTATTTTGAAATACGGTCTCACTAAGTTGCATAGGGTCTTGCCAAGTTGGTAAGGCTGGTCTCTAACTTGTGACCCTCCTGCCTCAGCCTCCAATGTTGCTGGGATTACAGGCATGGACCACCATGCCTGGTTCACTATCATTTTTCATATATGATACTAAGTCTGTATCTGTGCTCTCTTGGCTCATCTTTTGATTGTAAATAAGGTTACCAAGAATAGTTTAACTATGCCATTCTAAGAGAAGGTACTTCGTGTAAGAAAAAAAAAAAAGGTGCTCAATACAGTGAATATTCACAATTTTAAATCTAATGTGAGTTTCCTTGGTAACCTGTGTCAATGTTAAAACCTGCCTAAGCAACATAGAGATGTGACTCAGTGGTTAAATATCCCTGGGTTCAATCCTCAGTGCCAAATAAATTAATAAATGTCATTTTAATTTAGGAAGCATTTCTAAAATAGCCAATACTTGCACTGCTTTCTTCTTCATTATATAATATGTTCACATTTAAATCATGTCCTCTGAAACATAATGGTTACAATAAATACTTTTGTTCTCCCCACATAAATACCACCAATGAAATTGTTTTATAAGGCCAAGAAGTAATATTTAAATGGCATATATCATGTCAACTCACAGTCTCAAATAAGTGAATTATAAAAAGATCAGTTTAATATATAATGTGAATGTGGTTGAAGATCATATACTTGGTTCTTTATGTTCATTCCATTTATATATTATCTTTTATTTATTGTCTTTTCACGTTGTAGAAAGTAGAAGTTTATGGTGTTCTTTTTTTTTTTTTTTTTTTTTTTGCAATGCTGGGGATTGAACCCAGGGCCTATTGCATGTTAGGCAATTGAACTACCGCGGAATTATATCCCGAACCCTTTCTTTTTCGAATTTTATTTTAGGACACAATTTTATTAAATTGCCCAGGCTCTCCTTAAACTTGTGATCCTTTTGCCTCATCTTCCTGATAACTGGGATTACATGTATGTGCTACCTTACCAGCTAGAATTTCCATTTTTTAAAAATTATGCAGCCAATAAGTATACAATAATAATACCTGTATAAAAATTTGATATGTGCATGGTTTCTAAGGCTTATTCAGTGTTGACCATCTTAATAAACATTTTTTAATTTTTAAAAATGTTTTTTCTTAGTTATCAATTATTGTTTATTTACTTATATGCAGTGCTGAGAATACCTCATACATGCTAGGCAAGTGCTCTACCATTGAGCCGCAAACACAGCCCCTTAAAAAATATTAAGGAAGAAAACATCCTGTGCATTGGTACCTGCCTGTAATCCCAGCTACCCAGGAAGTTGAGGCAAGTTTGAGGATTGCAAGTTCAAGGATAGTCTTGGCAACTTAGTGAGACACTGTCTTAAAAAAAAAAAAAAAAAAAAAGCTGTTCCTTTCACTACCCTACTTCCTGACCACAGTGCTACAAAAGCTGCACAAATATCTGAGCATATGCACTTAAAATTAAAGATAGCAGCAAACAGAGGTAGAGGTAGAAAGAGGCAACAAAAAATTCTCAGGGACAAATAGGCTCATTTACAAATACTAAATATTCAAAAATCAGATAAATAACATCCTGTATCAAAAATTAGTTCTAATGAAATAATTTTTAGCATCTGAAAATATAGAATTAGGAAGCAAAATAAAAAAAGGTCTCACGGTGATGATTCCAGAATGATGCTATTAGCTTGTGTAGATGATGGAGATCTCTGACTCACAAAATCTTCACTTGGTGAAGTGTGAACCACATGGTCTACCAAATGACCAACTGAAGATGGTCGTAATCGGGTTCCCTCTTGTGTGAATGCAGAATTTCGACTAAATGAAGAAGAGAAAAAAAGCTTTAATTCAAATATTCCAAGTTTCTTAATTATATGGTTGCATGAGACAGTGGGGATTGTGTTTTTAAGACTAACTATGTTGACTAAGCAAAGTGTCTGACACAAACAAATCTGTCACAAGAATTTTACCCATTCAATCATTTATTATCTCTATCCAAATGTTTCTAGGTTTTAGTCACTACAATTTTATATCTTATCCAAAATTTATAAAATTGATGAGAATAAATGATTTAGAAATATCTTCTAGTCTAAATTATTTTTTAATTCTTCTGTTTTTTATTTATGGGATTTCACATCCTAAGAACAGGCACCAAATACCACATTTCTATCCTTACAAGTGACTGTCATATAAATAATTGTTGTCATTACCATTGTTAGTTAAAACATCTGATATTAGAGAATTTACTATGTACTAGGCATTGTTGTAAGCATTTTGCATATGCCACCTCTTTTTATAATATGTATTTTTTTAGTTATAGGTGGTCACAATACCTTTATTTTATTTTTACGTGGTACTGAGGATTGAACCCATTGCCTTACACGTGCCAGGCAAGCACTCTACTACCAAGCCCCAGTCCCAGCCCCATATACTACCTCTTTAGTCCTCAAAATAATACTATAAGAAAGACACTGTTGGGGCTGGTGTTGTCGCTCAGTGGTAGAGTGCTTGCCTAGCATGCGCAAGGAAGGCCCTGGGTTCGATCCTTAGTACCACATAAAAATAAATAAATAAATAAAACAAAGATATTGTGTCCAACTACAACTAAAAAATAAATCAATATTAAAAAGACACTGTTATAATTTTGTAGATGAGGAAAATTAAATTGCTCAAAGTTTAAAAAGCCTTACTGTCTACCATTATCTTAAATAGAGCAACACACTTAATTACTATTAAAGTCCACATTCTTAACCACTACCTTTACTAGCTATTTAGAATTTAAAAATACCTAAAATTGTTTCTTTAATCAGAAAACTTAATCAGATGCTGTTAAGTACTTAATCATCTGTTTTAATTTTTATTTTGTCATCTATAACTCATTATAATTATTTACTGGTGCTGGTAACAAAATGGAGAAATGTCTGGTTGCAAAAGGGAGCAAAAAAGAAGGTTCCAAAATTTCTTCAAACAAGCTGATGAGCATACACCTTATTTTATAAGGCAAACTAACTCAGTAATCCGCAATGGGCAAGATAGAAACTATGGAGTTCAAACAAACAAACAAAAAAGAAACTACATAGTGCACTTTATATAGCAGGAAGAAAGACACCTAGGTATAAAGTTTTGTGAACCAATTTTTTTTATACATATACTTTTTATTGTCCAGTTGGTAGAAGTTTATTTTTCAGCTGATACTACCCATCAGTGATTTAGCTTTTAGAATTTAGTGAACACTTATTGAACATTAATGTGTATAAAATATTTCTAAAGAAGACTTCTTCAAATATTATATTCTAGCCAGGCATGGTGACTATTGCCTGTAACCCTAAATACTCCGGAGGCTGAGGCAGGAGGATCACAAGTTCAAAGCCAGCCTCAGCAACTTAGTGAGGTCCTAATCAACTCAGCAAGACTCTGTCTCTAAATAAACTATAAAAAAGGGCTGGGGATGTGGCTCAGTGGTTAAGCGCCCCGGGGTTCAAATCCTGGTGCCAAAAAAAATAATATATACCAAATATTCTATACCAAAATTCAAGTATTCTACAAATGAACTTTATAGGATAACAAAGTTTGGTGTATATATATTTGGTTCATGTGCTGATACACATTTGTTTACCATTATCTTAATTAGGTGAACATAATGTTACTATTATAAAATTAAAATAATCAATACCTTTAGTCACAAGCTCATTGTTTTATTTTTAATACCAAAAGCATTTTATGATAAATACTATAAAAAGTGCTAAATCACAAAGTTCTTTTTAGCATAGATATAGCTAAGCTTATGGGGACTGCTGTTGTAAATTCTTCTCTAGGCCACAGAAAATGAATGGGATGTTTTTGCTTTGCTATGGATTGAACCCAGGGTCTTGCACATGCTAAGCCAAACATTATCACAAAGTTACACCCCTATAGTAGGGTGGGGTTTTAAATAAGAGAATAGCATCATTTTGTAAAGCATTTACAAACAATCTTTACACTGAGAAATTCTGTTGGGAATTCACATGGAAAAGGATGTGTAAAAAACAATCTGAAGATATTTTAAGTCCACTAATAGATCTTAATTTATTCATTAGTGACGTTTACTATGAAGGACAACTACTGAGGAAACTGAGGGTCAATGCACTACTTCCTCATTCTCCAAAGCTATTATTCCATGCCACTTTTGCCATATGCAAGGAGGATATAATGCTATGGAGCAACAAAAAACATACTTGATCAAAAAGAGTTAAATTTTTATGTAGACATTCATGGAAATATACAGCTAATAATCTGGCAACTAGCTAAATACAAACTTGGTGTTGGATAGTACTTACTGATTAGGAGTCCCAGGTGGAGATCGAGATGGAAGGCTTTGTGTTTCTAACCTGTCATCAGATATTGAATTTCTGCTTACTACTTCCCAATCCATTAATTTCCGTGCCAAAGGCTTACTTGGGGATCTGCAGAAATAATTTAAATAATACATTAAGAGTTTTATTTTTATAGTCCAAACTATAAACCAAATTCTTAAGTGTTTTAATAGATTACACTCTAGATGAGTCAGCATAAATTACAAATAAATGTAATTTATTTCTTTCTTATATATAAACTTTCTTATAATAGCAAAGTGGATTTTTCTTTTTTACAAAAGCATTTTAGAAGGTTAACTATTCTGTCTTGTGGTGGGGAGTGATTACTTGTCAGCTATCATAGTGATATAAATATGAGAACTAAAAGTAATCTTCAAATAAAAAGATCTTGATATTGATCTGTGCAGAGATCATAAACCCTTAGAATTTTAGGAGTGTTAACAACTAAAAAAACCCCAAACTTTTTAATATGCAAATTCCAAAACTGGTCAAAATTCACTGAAAATGTATGGCATCTATTTAAACTAGCTTTTAGAAATTCAGGGTTATATGGAGGCTAATACAATTAATTAAGCTCCTTATATAAAAATATATAATAAATCATCTTCCAGGTTTTGAAAATTTCTGTAATAAATTCACACCACATAAAATGTTTGTTATTTTCCATTACATCATAATTTTTTAAAAACATTCTATTATCCTACTACATCATGCCAGGCACAGTGGCACATAGCTATAATCTCAGTGACTTGGGAGGCTGGGGCAGGATGACTGCAAGTTCAAAACTAATCTAAGCAATTTAGCAAGGCACTAAGCAATCAGCAAGACCTGTCTTTAAAAAAAAAAAAAAAAAATCCCCATTACAAAAGTAAAAAAGGAGATCATAAAAATGTAGGTAGAATTTTTGTGTGAAATAAAAAAAAAAACCAAAGCTATTTTTAGTTATAATTCATAGGATTTCTTTTTCCAACTTATTAGGACTTTTTCCCTTAAAGTTTGCCACCCCCCCACAACCTGTCATGTACTGTATGCACACTTTTGTATAAATAAAAAAGATTATTAAGGAAGGCATAAGGCAAATTAATATTAAGTCACACAATTACAACTGAAACAGTGTCATGTATATAGCAGAAAGCATTAAAATAATTATAAGGAGAACTGAATACTAGTTCTGGCCTTTCCCTAACAAATCAGTTAAATTTCTATATCTATTAGTATAATATGATCCTTATGCCCTTCATTGCCTCTGAATTTAATGATTTGTGATAATTAAATTTTCAGAGCAATGTTTTAGATTTACTAAACCATGAGTAACTTAATTTACTAATGAATCCAAACCACAAAAATGTCCTAGCATTTCAGGAATTCATAGTCAAAAACTTTTTAGTTTGGTATAATAATATCTCCTTAATTTAAAAAATAATGGGCATTAAAAAAAAAGAGATATAATGTTGGTTAAACAAAAAGACATAGCTTCATTTTCCGTAAGTAAATTCAAAATAATATTTTATTATTTAAGTATGAATTATATTATTTAATAATATTTTATTATTTAAGTATGAATATTTCCCACTATCATGAGTTTAAGTTACAGGATACCATTTAGTTCAACTCCTTCACACTGCAATGCAAATGTTCATATCAATCAAAACAAAATTAATATGTATTATTTCATTCATTTTTTTAAAAATAAACTTACCATAACTTACCATTCATGGCTCTTCTATTAGTGCTAATCCTTAAGGTTTATAAACTATTCTTCCCTCATATCTTAAGACTACTAAATAAAAGCTGTAAGAGAGTTCACTATCTATAGTTAGGACATCAACTACTTTCATTTTCTAAGAGAAGGAAAAAAATCCTTTGAAGGAAGAAAATATCCAGCATACTCACCTACTATAAACCGTCAAAACTCTTTACTCTTCCTCATAAGACTAGGCATGTTTGGAATGCTTCGAATTCAAAGCTAAAGTTCAGGTATTTTATTTTATTAACAGTTTTAACCTCAGAGACCCACCCACTCAAACTTGCTGTCTATGTTTCCTGTTGAGTGTGGAAATTTCAGAGAAAAAAATACCACACTGCAGTGTGTTTGCAATGTGGTAAATTTATTTTCTGACCATGGCACCTATTTTTCTGTTGTATGAGAATGCTGTTTTGCTTTCTTCTTAGATATTATTATATGATAACTGAGGAAGTATGAAAGCAATTTGAAGAGTTGAAATAAGAAAAAAATGCTATAAAATTTATAATAAAAAATTTAAGAAGAAATTTCTTCTATCTATTTATACTGTCAACTAAAATTTCAAAACAGGTGAGAAATTCTGGAATTCTTTAATATTTTGCCAAAATAATTTAAAAGCTGCTGAAATTACTACAGAAATTTGATGTATATGTATCACGTCATCACAACAATATTGTATTAGGAAAACAATCCCAGAAAGTCTAGTCTTTTAAACATGAAAGGATAAATAAAATAGCCCAGTACCACTAAAACCTCTTCCCAGTTGATGACTTCTTACTTCAAGGAGAATTCATAAAATTCCAGCAAAACAGAAGAAATAGAATAGACATTTAAGGATTATCATGTTGGAATTCCAGCTCTACTGTTCACTGAATGCAAACTTGTTTTATAAAATAACCTATTAACTTCACATTTTAATAATGACTACACAAAATGAACAAGTACGATGTAGGTATAGTTTCTAAAAGCTGATATGACCAAAAATATTAAAATGATAATATTAAAAATATTAAAATAAAGAAACTTTGTGGTGCTGGGGAGACAGCTCAGAGAGAGAGTGCTTGCTTAGCATGGGCAAGGCCATGGGTTTGATCCCCAGCACTACCAAAAAACAAATAAACAATAAGTAAATAAATAAATAAAACAGAAACCATTTGCATTTGCTATTAACCTTATGGTAAAAATACACTTATAATACTGTATTCATGGACATAATATTATAGCTATCTTTAAATTTTATCTTTGATTTTTTTTAGTAAATATTAAGTAAGAAAAAAGCTTACTGTTAGGAAAGAAAAAGGCTTAAGGATATTGTTCTGGTGCAGTTGTAACAGGAAAAATATTTTCATTTTAATAAGTACTTAAATGAGTATTACAAAATAAATTATCATACTCAGAGCTAGAAAAAATTCATTCTAAGTTAGAATAATAAAGTTGATAAGAAAATTATTTTTTCCCTAAGAGCAATTGCAAGGAAAACAATTTTACATTAACACTTAACTGTGCATTTTAACTTTGTACAGGTCTTTATTACTAACTGGAAATAATGGTGTCTAGCACTGTAAAAAGGAGGATTTTGAGTAATTTCAGGAATCATGTAAATTAGGATAACCATCTCTGTGTTTTGACTTTTTTCTCCCTTCCAAAATAACCACGCCACTAAAATTTATATTAAATAAAAAGATAACTTCCCCTCATAAATCTAAAACTAAGATATAAGAATAAAATGGATTCAAAACTTTTCTGAACAAATGCTAAAATGAATTATACTATTAAAATTCAAGAAAACTTATCACAGCAAAATGCTATATCCCTAACCTGCTGAATCCTTCCCACCAAGCCATTTTCATAGACTGTTTCCCTGTTAGATTATTCATAGACAAATCAGAAAGAAGGAAACCCCAGAAGAAAGGAAAAAAGGTACGTAAATTTTACTCAAACACAAAATACATCTTTCTATAATTTTCTGCTTTAAATATAAGTAGCTCATAGTTATTATTTATTTTTATAAGCTCTTAATACATATTACTGTGACAGTCACAAATAGTCTTAGCAACAACTCTTACTGTGAAGGCAGGGACATGGCAGGGGCAAAGGAAAGAACCCAAAAGTTAGATTTACATTTAACTGTAAAAGTATTTAACCGTTTATAAAGACATACTGCCATTATAAATGATTAGATTTTTTTCAGCATCAAAGAAAATGTGCGTGATATGTTAAGTGATCAAAGCAAGCAACAAAAAGCATGAAACATTTTTGAAACAAATATATACATACATATATCTATAAATGCACAGAAAAATCTTGAATAAACCCTGGAAAAAATTTAAAATGGTTGTTTTGGGATGACAATTTTTCTTTAGGATATATGACAATGTTGGGATTTTAAATTTAAATATGTATCCTATCTCTCATTTTCATTAATTAGAAAAAAGGATTAATTTTCATTTGGGGAAGGAAGGAAAACAAATCAATTGTGTGAATAAAGAAAAGGACTTGTGACTATTCTGAAATCATTTAGAAAAAAATTTTAATAACTTTAATTCTTCAAAAAAAATTCAGACACTGAAACAGAATTGGCTTACCTTGCAAATACCCTGTCTTTATTTGCCTTTTCTTTGCCATACTGAACTGACTGGACTTCAGTTCTCCCACTGAAATACATAAATATGTACAATATCTTAAAGAGAACTACAAGATAAAATGACAACACACAATATGACTATATTACAATTTTGTATGAGACAAGACATTTCCAACAACAACAATAATGACAACAAAAGCAGAATAAGACTATTAGACTGAACTACATTCCAGTTCTACCTGGATGGATGAAGTTTTCCCATTAATGAACAGACATGTGTTCCACAGACATTTTATTTTCAAATACTTAGAGTATGAGCAAAATAGTTTTGTATGAGAGGAATTCCTTCCTGGTTCTGCCCTGCCAAAACATTCTCTCTAGAGTAAGAAACAGGCTGTTGTGCCCCTAGTTTAAACAAACTCTATCATCCCTGTCCTGTCCCCACAGGTTTGGGGTTTAGCTAGTGTCTCCACTATTCCTTAAGCAAGGAGCTGAAACATGGGGGATGATCTTGGAGAAGTGCTCTTTCTTTGGGCAAGCTTTTCTTCCTTTCAACTGCTAATAATCATACAGATAATGAGGACTGTTACATATATCCTCAACTCCCTACATGTCCAGACGTGGGGCAATTCCAGATTTCCAAATATAGAAAGGAAAACTAAGGACAGAAATAACATTAGGAGTTAGGCACTAAGATATTTATCTTGAAACCAATTAGTTGATCAGTAACACTTTATGCAAGGAATCTGATTATCCTCCTTTGTACACCAGTGTGTTCACACCAACTTTGTTAATAAAGGGTTGATTCTTAGAGAATTTTAAGATTTGTGATATCTCATTACTTGAGTGTGAATACATTTCTAGTACATCAAATATAACCATTTACAAATGTAGATATCAATGCACGTAAGACTAGCCAAATAAAGGTCTCCAAAGCTACTCAAGCAATTTTAAGACCATTTTCCATGATATAAGTGTGATCTGAAGAGCATGCTTGTGAGGTTTTAATGGAAAAATGAGAAACAGTAACATGATGTTTTAATGCTAATAAGTTGAACTTTCCTAAGAAAGTATACCTCTAAGGAAGACATAATAAATTAAGGTTCCCCACTATTTGTATTTCCACATTAGAATAAGATTTAATCCCTTGGATATTCTGGACAAGAGATAACCGGGTGTGCATGGGGAGGCTGGTGGGGAAAATAATACTTCTGTCTAATGTTACCAGTCAAAATAATATTTCAACATTTTAGGTATGACAATAGTACCTGTATTGTCAACCACCACTTAACTATGAGGGAAAAAGTGTTTATTTAGTGTATAGTTATTAGGTATAAGACTGTTAAACATTTGTCATGCTGCCTTTCTTACTTTATTTATAAGACTACTAGTCACTCTAGTGATTAAAAAGTGCTTCAGATAATTTTTAAAGTTCTTAGGGACTATAAACATAAAGCTTAATCTTTAAAACTATAAATATATATGGCAAATATATATGGTTTGTATATACACACTAACTTAATGTGGACTGAGCTGTCATAGTGATGGGGGCAGACAGATGTGAGTAGTGGGAACACAAGGTTAAAAGAATAATTCTATAGTATGGGCCCACTGTGCTGACCCCCACGTGCTTTCTTTTCCAAGAAGTAATTTACCTGTAGCCCTGCCTGGCTTAAGTAGACAGGATATGTTGCATTCCTCTGTAAACTACTTATTATCTGTAGGAGAAATGCAGGCCCAAAATAACATAGATAAGAAAATCCCAAGTTACCCTGAAGAGGAAGACTTCTGTGACTCTTTTCACAGACCAGATCCCAAAACTCAGGGAGATAAGGATAATTCCTTTTAACCATAAAATCTGTAAGAATGCATGGTTAAGAATCCAATTTGAACAGGTCAGTATATGCTAAGGTGACTTAGAGTTGTCATGGCAGTGGAGATTTTAAAGTCTGCCAGTCAAAAGTTAAGAGGTGGGCCTGAGTGGGACTCTCTGGAAATTTCTCTGGGATCTCTAATAAAACTGGAGTGCAGGAGAGGCTAATTATCCCTCTTTTCTCTGACAGGACCCATTCTCTGGCTTGAGAGTATCCTCTTTCCCTTTTCCTATCCCTTCAATAAACTCATGCCTATTGCTCTGAGTGACATGTCTGAAATCTTTCTGACTTGACTGCAAAAATCAGCTTTTGAAGGTTGGACAATAAGTATCAATTCTGTCCTTTTGTGCTCTGCTACAATTAGCAAGGGGTTTTGAGTGAATACACTCCATTTTGTAGATTCCTTTGCCACCTGTCTTTCTGTTACATTCTGTTTTCAGAAGGCACTGATGGAAGATCAGAAAGTAGAGAAAGGCAGAGCAGGAAACAGGAAGGTGCTGGTAGCTGCTTTAAGTTGTAGGAACAGGGCACAGTGGGAAACAGCATCTTATAGATGGTTCCATCGTTGGCTAAAGCAACACTTCTCTGGATGATTCAGAATTGTGAGAGTGGCTCTAACAGTGTAGTATCAAGTCCAGGCCTGGGAATTCCAGCCCAGAAGTGACCCAAGCTTTTGATCCTTGGGCATTCTCCCTTCTTCCTATTTGCCTCTTCACAGCCCACTTATTCCCTATTGCCTTCCCAGTCTTTTTTAACACCTGTATAACTATTTCCCTCGATTAAATTGCTTTTATTTGAAATATCAAAAAGACTTTGTTCCTCTAACTAAATCCTGACAGATACATTAATTATCCAGTGAAGAGGATTCAAATGGCGCACTCTTATTCAAAAGGCTGGATTTACAATTGAATTTCAAAATAAGGAAGGAACAAATTTATTTACTTAAAATATTTTGTAGTTGTAGATGAACAGCATGCTTTTATTTTGCTTGCTTATTTTTATGTGGCGCTAAGGATGGAACCCAGTACCTCACACATGCTAGGCAAGCGCTCTGCCACTGAGTTATAGCCACGGAAAGAACAATTTAAACAATATCAGAGAGTTTATATGTTGCATATTATCTAAACACAGTCTTTAAAGGCTTAGAATTGTTATTAGAATATAGAACACCAAAATCTGACAGTAGATAACTGATCTTTTGAACAATAAGAAAGTGCCAGGAGGGCTGGGGATGTGGCTCAAGTGGTACCGTGCTCGCCTGGCATGTGTGCAGCCTGGGTTCGATCCTCAGCACCATATGCAAAACAGAGATGTTGTGTCCGCCGAAACTAAAAAATCAATATTGAAATTCTCTCTCTCTAAAAGAAAAAAGAAAAAAATTAATTAAAAAAAAAGATAGGCTTGTTAAAAAAAAAAAGAAAAAGAAAAAAAAAGAAAGTGCCAGGAGGTAAATATATATACATATGTCTGTATATAAATATATATGCTTATTATTTATAAGTAATTAAGTAATATAAAAAAGGTTTAAAAAGAAAAAAAAAACTGTTTTTTTTTTTTCTACCAAGAAATCATCATCATTAAGCACAGGTAAAAATCATTTTGAAGAAAGTCTTGAAATAGAGACAGAATCTTAATGTGAATACAAGATATATGCCACTTGTTTAATTTTTACTTTTTTTGAGACAGGGTCTTACTACATTGTCTAGGCTAGCCTCAGATTCCTGGGATCAGGGCTGGGGTTGTGGCTCATTCGTAGAGCACTTGCCTAGTACATGTGAGGCGCTGGGTTCGATCCTTAGCATCACACACAAAAAATAAACAAATATAATAAAGCTAATTAAAAATTTCTGGGATAGAGCAATACTACTATCTCACTCTCTGGATTGGCTGAGGCTACAGGCACGTATGACCATGCTTAATTATAATCCAGTTTTAACTGAAAAAGATAATGCTGATTTCCTTTGAAATAAAAGAAAGGAAAAGACTCTGTTTGTTTAAAAAAAATAAGGAAAAAAGATTGAGAAAGCTTAAGAAGTTCATGTATTAATATTTAAAGCTATACATTAAGAATTCAAATACTTCTTCTCACTTGTCTTTTTTTTTTTTTCTTTTCTTTTTTGTGGTACTGGGGATTGCACCCAGGGGCCAGGGACACTCTACTATTTAGCTACATCTTCCCTTGCTTTTTAAATTTATTTTGAGATAGGGTCTAAGTTGCTCAGGCTGGCTTTGAACTTGTAATCCTGCCTTATCCTCTTGAGTTTCGGGGATTACAGGTGTGGTTCAATTTATTTTTTAAAAAATTAATTAATTAATTTTAAAGTTACAGTATTTATTTTACATTTTAAAATTTTACCATTTATTTCTATTCAGTAGTTATCATTTTCACAATTGTAAAGTATTAATTCTATTTGAATGATTTAATCTTTATTCTAAGTGAAGAATTTTTCTTGAGTTATTTTGACTTATCTCTTAGTTGGCTTAATTTTACTATGAGTAGATGTTTTTCAAAGGCTCAGAGATTTTATATTACATGAGGTTTAACATACTGAATAATGTCATGCTGACTTTAGACTTGAATGGCAACCTGGGTGAGCTTAATATTTTTTAGTCTCTTATTTTCATTAGGACTTCAGAGTCAAAGAGTGGTCCACAAGCTACATAAGCCCGAAGACAAGTTTCATTTGGCATATTCATTGTTCAAAAAATATTTAATCCAAACAGATAAACTTCTAGCAAGACAAGTTATCAATATCAACTAGACAAGCAACATTGCTAAATTCTGGACATATTAAAAAGATAATGGTAACATTATGAACCTTAAGCTAACAAAGCCAGTAACTTAGATGAAATGGGAAAATCTGTTTAAAGAAAAACTACCAAAGTTTGCTCAGGACTGTCTTATCTATTAAAATTTTTGGACATTTATTCAAAACATTCTAAGAAATAAAACTGCCCAGAAGGATTAATTGGTAAATTCTTTTTCTTTTCTCACTATTTAAAACTCCTTTATAGGCTGGGGTTGTGGCTCAGTGGTAGAGTGCTTGCCTAGCATGCACAGGGCACTGGGTTCGATCTTCAGCACCACATAAAAAATAAAATAAATAAATAAAACTCCTTTATTAGCAATCACAAAAGAGATCAATAATATCCAAGGCTGGTGAAGTGTCTTTCACAATTGGAATGCAATGCCTATTATTTATTTATGCCACTTTCCCTCCATATTTTTAATTGGTGCATTACAATTAAACACAACAGTGGGATTTGTTCTTATATCTTCATACATGCACAAATATAACAATGTAATTTGGTTTAATTAGTAAATTCTATCAAACATTTACAAAGGAAATTAGAGCATTACCACACAAACTCTTCCAGGAAAATAGAGATATTCTAATTTCTTCAATAAGGCCAATATTACCCTGACACAGAAACCTGGCAATGTCACTATAAGATAGAAAACTACATACCAATATCCTTCATGAGCACAGATGCAAAATTTCTAAACAAAATTTTAACAAGTTTATTTAGACAGCATATAAAAAAGAGAGCATTATCCCAGGAATAGAAAACTGGTTTGACACTTGAAACTCAAAAAGTAACTGATCATATTAACAAACTGAAAAGAAAACCATGATAATCTCAATAATTACAGAGTAAGCATTTAACAAAAATCAACACACAATCCTAACAAAAACTTTCAGGAAAGAAGAAACAAGAAGTTCTTTAACATGCATGAATGATATGGGGCATCTAGAAAAAGCCTACAACCAAAATCATAGTTCACAGTCAATAGATGACATGCTTTCTACCAAGATGATTAAGAAGAAGGCAAGGAAGTCTGCCCGCATCACTTGTATTCAACACTATTCAACATGGTAATCCAGATGGAACAATAAGGAAAGAAAAAGAAAAAGCATCAGATTAGAAGGGAAGAACTAAAACCATCTTTACCTTACAGGTAGAAAATCTGTTGGAAACTGCTGGGCTCGGTGGCACACACCTGTAATCCCAGTGGCTTGGGAGGCCAAGGCAGGAGGATCATGAGTTTAAGCTAGCCTCAGCAACTTAGCGAGGCCCTAACCAACTCAGTGAGATCCTGTCTCTAAATAAATATTAAAAAGGGCTGGGGATGTGGCTCAGTAGTTAAGTGCCTCTGGGCTCAATTCTTGGTACCAAAAAAAAAAAAAAAATATATGTTGGAAACTATAAGAAAGCTCCTATAATAAATGAGTTTAGCAAGGCTTCAGGAAACAAGGTCAACATTAAAAAAGTCAACTGCATTTCTTCTAATGGCAACCATCAATTTGAAATCAAAATTTAACAAATACCATTTATGGATAAAAATATGAAATATGTAAAGCTAAATTTGACAAAGATATGCAAGACTTGTACATAAAAAAACTAAAATCATTGCTGGAGAAATAAAAGAAGACTTAAGAAAAACACATATTATGCTTCATGAGTTGGAAGAGCCTATATTTTTAAGATATCAATTCTCCAAAAATGGATATACAGATTCGGCATGATTCCAATTAGAATCCCTTTTTCATAGAAATTGGTAAAATCACTCTAAAATTCAAATGGAAATACAAAGTGGCTAGAATATCCAAAACAACTTTTAAAAGAGGAGCAAAGCTAGAGGACTAATAATAAAAAATAAGTTCAACAACAGGACGATACAAATGAGCTACTCATTTTTGACAAAAGTGAAAAGAAACAACTAGATATAAATGTTCAAAAAATGAACTCCAACCCATATTTCACATCAAATATAAGAATTATATCCAAATGTATCACCTAAATGTAAGAACTAAATGTAGGAGCAAAAACTATAAAACTCTTAGAAGGAAACAGAGAAATAAATCTTTGTGACCTTGGATTAGGCAAATATTTCTTAGATATGAGAACAAAAGAAAAGTTGATAAAAGAACAAACTAGTAAGCTTAACTCCATCAAAATTCAAAATCTGTTCTCTTGATACTGGTAAACACTAAAAAGATAACAGCAAGCACTATCTTTGAGGACCTGGTAAAGCTAGAAGTCTATTTTTTTGGGTGGTGGGAGGAATTGATCCCAGGGTTTTATGTATGTAGGACAAGTATCCTATGACTGGGTTACACCCTCAGTCCTAAAATAGAACTTACACTGCAGGAAACTACACTGCATACACTGCAGGAAAGTTCACAAAGGTACAACTGCTTGGACAAAATGTTCAACAGTTCTTAAAAAGTTAAACATGCATCTACCATATGAGCTGGCCATTATACATTTAGGTATTTACCTAAGAAAATGTCCATACAAAGACTTCCACATGCATGTTCACAGTAGCTTTATTTGTAATAGCCTGAATCTGGAAACAATCCACTTGATACCCATCATCAAATGGATAACCAATTATTTATCTACACAATGGACTATTACTCTGCAATAAAAAGAAATGAGCTATAAATACAGGCAAGAATATGGATGAATCTTAAAGTAATTATTCTGAGTAAAAGTGGATTGACTAAAGACTAAAAAGAATACTTAATGTTTCACTTTACATAAAATCCTAGAAAATTTATAAAGACAGAGAACAGATCAGCAGTTGTCTGAGGACAAAAGGTGGAAGAAAGGTTATCGCAGAGGAATATTATAGATCTTTCGTGGGTGATGGGTATGCTTATTATTGTGATTATGGTGAAGGATTCATGGAGATTCAAACATTAATTTTAAATGTAGTAGTTTACTATGTGTGAATACCTCAATAAATCTATTTTAAAGTATTTCATTCAATTTCTAAAAATGCACAGATTCCACTTAATAGACCATAGTCTCAGTTCTGTTGAATGAACAAAGTCTGTCAATTCTAGATCAGTCTTCTCCCAAGGGCAATAACAGTCAAATGGCAGTTATTGTTCTCTCCACCAATCTTAAAATATTTTTTTTGTTTTTAAATATGAGTTTATTTTTTTTTAAATATATATGTATATTTTGTGTATATTATATGTATATTATGTGTGTGTGTATATATATATGTTGTAGATGAACACAATACCTTTATTTATTTATTTTTATGTTGTGGTGAGGATCAAACTCAGTGCCTCACATGTGCGAGGCAAGCGGTCTGCCACTGATATCCCAGCCCCAAAATAGTTCTTAAACTTTTTTTAAAAATTAATGTCTATGGTAGAAATTTCTTTTGGTGTCAGTGATGATCTTCTCCACAATAGTATCTTCAATTGTCTCTTCTATTTGTATTCATCACATCTAGACCTGTGGTATGGTTTGGATTACTTTCTTGAATTTTTTCTTATCTGAGACCTGTTTGAACTGTAGTTGAAGATTGGTTACTGTGTTTTATTAATTTCTTTGTCACATAAGTAAAATGGGTGTGTGTATATGGAGAGAGAGGAGGGTGGGAGAGAGGGAGGGAAATGGATGGACAGATACATATTTCTGCAAGGATATGGGAAAAGAAAAGAGTTCTACCAGAAAGTAAGGTCAGTATTTGGGTGATTACCCCAGTGGTCATTTTGGAATTAGACTCATTGAAGAACACCCTTAGGTTGGTTTTATACTAATCTCACATTTCAAACAACATAAAGCCTTTTGAGATTTTTTTTCTGTAGGGAAGGTTCAATATTTTCCCTTGACTTTCACAATTGACTGCACACATTCACCTTCAGACTTCTTACCTTCAATTTTGCAAATAATTTTTCTCAATATTGCTTTTAGGAAAGTGAGAAAGGAGTTAAAACATATCAAGTCACTGAAGATTCTGTTTTTTTTTTAATTAAAATTTTCCTAATTCTGTTTAATTGTTGCTACTAAACTTTTGTGCACTTTTATTACATTTTCTTGGGATGACAGGCATCTATTTTTAGTGATATACTCTGTAGTAAACTTTATGCTGTTAATTTTTACTGAGATTACAAACTGCGCATATATACATGTCTATAATTTACAATGTAAATTTAAAAAAAATTTTTTTAAGTTGCAGATGGACACAATGCTATTTATTTATTTATGTAGTGCTGAGGATCAAATCCAGTGTCTCATATGTGCTAGGCAAGCATTGTACCACTGGGCCACAACCCCAGTCCCTACAATGTAAATTTTTTAGGACACTTCTAAATATTTTTCTCCTGAACATATAAGATAAAATCAGCCTATCACATAATGGTCAAGGGTTTTATTTACTGAAGATAGAAAAATCTTATTTTGTGAACAGAAACAGACAAAATCAGTAACATTCGTCTTACTAGAAGATCATCAATAACTTTTTCTATACAAGTCTTATCTGGTTTCATTTTAAAACCAGCTTTTAAAGTCCTTTAAAAATTCCATAAATAATACCAATCAGAGCTTCTTCAAATTTAGTTACTCCCCCAAAGACTTTCAGGAAAAAAAAAAGCTGTCAAGAATAAATAAGACAAAGGGTGCAGTTGGATAGGAGAAATAACTTCTAATATCCTACAGCACAATAGGATAATGCTGACTAACAACAATTAATGGTACATTTCAAAATAATTGATAAATGTCTGAGGTGATGAATATGCCAATTACCTTGATCTGATCATTATACATATTTTATAGGTATCAAATATTACATTATACCCCATTATGTGTCCATTAAAAATAAAAATGATTTAAGAAATAATAAATAAGACACTTGTAGGGAAAAGAAACCCCGGAGTTCTTGTTCAACAACTAAATTTGATTTTGCCTAATGAATATTCTGAACTCTTTACAATAGATGGTTTAACAACTCAGAAATATGCTAAATTATAAATTAAAAAAAACTATATAAACTCATGCAGAATCTATCTTAATTTTTACAAATAAAATAAATGTGCCTGAACAAAGAGAAGTTTTTACATAAATAGTAAAGAGACAATGGAAATCTAACCTGTCTAGACTATAAATAAGTTAATGTGGTTAATTTACTTTAGATAATAAGGACCTGAAATAAAGTCAATAGAATGGGTCTCTGAAGCCTGATGAATCTCTGAAGAACACATAGAGCTTTCTGATACATATGTAAGGGCTGCATTCCATAGGGACTCCAAAGGTAGGTATGAGGAGCAATAATTCTATGGTTCTATCAACTAGATAATTGCTTTCATGGGAGGAAAAACATCTAACAAAAAATTCTTAATACAAAAGTAGTACTTACCAGTACCGGAATTTTGAACCTAATGTAAAATAATGTGCAAAAAAATTCTTTTGAGGTGGAAGTGGTCTGTCCAAACGGAAGAATGTGTGATGTTCTACACATGCTTTCCACAAATTCTTACAAGCTCGGTAATTCACCATATTAAATCCCAGTAGTGTTTCTCTAGATTCATGCTGTAATAAACCAAAAATGCAGAGAATATCAGAAAAAAAGTCAGAATCTAATGCTATATTTACTTTTGTTCGGTATACATCTACAGAGCTGTGAAGCAATAACTCATTTATTTTTATTCTTCATAGTATTCTACTGGAAATGTACACACTACAGATACTTATCCACTTTACTGCTGATAGACACTTGATGATTCCAGTCTGAGGGGATAAGAGTAATGCTGCTGTGTATACTTCTGTATGTCATCTGGTGTACACTTGAACACTTTTCTGTTGATGGACCATAGATACGAGTATGTTGAGCTTTAGTACATAAAATCCAACAATTGTGTATGCTCCATATATTCACCAACCACTGGTTTATCAGTCCTTTTCATTTTAATATTCTGGTGAGTATCCAAGGGCAGCACACTTTGGTTATAATTTGTACCTCCTTGATGACTAATGAGGTTCAATATCTTTTCACGTTACTGGCCATGTGGATACACTCTCTTGTGTGAAGTGTAGTTCAAGTTACTAGTTTATTTTTCTATTGGCTTGCATTTAAAACTAAGGACAGAGTGTGTGTGTGAGAGAGTGATACATATTCTGTTATTTCTTAATGATTTCTTTTGATGAAGAGTTATTAACTATAACAGCCCATCTTATCAATTTTTATGTTTAAGGTTAAGAAGATTTCCTTGTATGTACTATTCTACAAATCTTTCCCCATTCAAAGATCATAAAGAGAGCCAGAAGCTGTAGTACATGTCTCCAATCCTAGCAATTCAGGAAGGTCAGGAAGGAGGATCATTAAGTTCAAGGACAGCTACTTAGTGAGACCCTGTCTTAATATGTAAGGGGGGGAGTGCTAGGGATATAGCTCACTGGAAAAGCACCCTTGGGTTCAATCCCCAATACTATATTTAAAAAAAAAAAAAAAAAAGTCATGAAACTATTTTCCATAACTAAATCACTGTAAAATGTCTATGTGTAAATAATACAGTACCATGTATAAAGTTAATATGCTTAAAACATCATTTCTTGACCACCAGAAAATTAATCTCAGTTATGATTATTAGTTGCTTTGTATGTAGTAACACATACAGTATGTATAACATGTACCATAAACATTGGGCAAAATGGAATTACAGGGTACATGCCTGTAATTCCAGCAACACAAGAGGTTGAGACAGGAGGATTCCAAGTATAAAGCCAGCCTTGGCAACTTAGTGAGACCCTATCTCAAAATAAAATAAAAGGGCTGGGCGGTGAGGGGGTGCTCGGTTGTGGCTCAGTGGTAGAGCGTTTGCCTAACGTGTGAAGCACTAGATTTGATTCTCAATATCTATCTATCTATCTATCTATCTATATTTTTTTTTTTAAGAAAGAGCTGGGTGGCTGGGCTTGTAGCTCAGTGGTTGAACACTTGTCTAGCACAAGAGAGGCACTAGGTTTGAGCCTCAGCACTGCATAAAAATAATAATTTAATAAAATAAAGGTATTTTGTCTATCTACAACTAAAAAAAAAATTTAAAGGGGGGGGGGGCTGGGGATGTGGCTCAGTGGTAGAGCACCTCTGGGTTCAACTGCCAACAACACACAAACACACACACCCCATGTACTTTTTTGTGCTACATTTTAACTTCAATAGAAATTTGATTAGGAAAACTCTACATTTTGTGAACATAAATGAACAGCCACAGATTAGATTGATATCCTGATAAAATGCAGTGGATTCAAATACATTAAGGTTTCAAATACATTCTACACACACACACACACACACACAYACACACACACACGTCCAATCTTGAAAACTATATTAATTTGCAAAAATTTCTAAGAAATAATGTAAATAAAAAGGTTAATTTGATGAAATAGATAATCACAATACAAAATTGTTTCCAACACTGTACTGTCCATGACAACTCAACTTATACTTAACATAGAAAAAGGCCATTATCACTTCAACACAGAGAGGAAATGTGCTATATGTTCACGAATTATAAACGAAATGCTCAGCTTTCCAAAAATGAAATGAACTTATGTATGAAATGAAATGCAGTGGATTTAATAGAAAAAAAGGAGAAGGCCATAGAAAATGTTCAGCTATTGCTCTTAGGAATGGACCCTGGGGATGGACAATGAATATCATGTGTTAGAAATCAGTTTGTGAGTAGAGGAAAGAACAGAAAGAATGTCTAGAAGAACTTTAAATCAAAACCACAGAAACACTGAAGAAACAAATACACCTGGTCATAAAAAGTGAATTCATTTACCTTAATAGAGAGTTATCAACAGTATTAATTGTACTTATAATGGTAGAAAAATTCTATCATTAATGACTGGGCATTTCATAAAAGACTTACTTCATTTATATCAATAATTATTAGACCAATACTTACCAATTCCTTTCTAAGTTGAATAAAAAACTGTTTGCACTTAAAAGAAATCTTCACAATCTTCAACCTATACAAAAGAGAACAAACTAGAGCATTTAAAATATTGAATAAAGAGAAAAATATTAACAAATTAAGAAAGTATCTATAAAACAGCCGGGCACGATGGCACAGGCCTGTAATCCCAGTGGTTTGGGAGGCTGAGACAGGAGGATCTCAGTTTCAAAGCCAGCCTCAGCAATAGTCAAGTGCTAAGCAACTCAGTGAGACCCTGTCTCTAAATAAAATACAAACTAGGTCTAGGAGGTGGCTCATTGGTCAATTGCCCCTGAGTTCAACCCCTGGTATCCACCCATCCCCAAAAGAAAGTATCTATTAAATGATCTTTTAAATTTATATTTTCTAATATCTAAACATCTTATCATATATTCTATACATGCACACAGAATATAAAAAAAATCTGAAGTTTTTGGTGCTTCATGAAAAACTAGTTAAAATCTATGAGTTCAACTACAGAAAATTTTACCAAAATATCTAATTGCAAAATATCCGTTTCCCAATTTTATATGTACAGAAATACTTAAATGTCACAAATTAAAATTTCAAAAAATAGGACTGTGAATGTGGCTCAGTGGTAGAGTGCTTGCCAACTAGCATGCAGGAAGCCCTGAGTTAGATCCCCAGCACTTAACAGTGAACGATGACAACAACAACAAAAAAGAAAAAATCCTCAAGAAGTATCAATAAAATAGGTGTAGTTTACTCCTTAAAACTATAAGCAATACTGATAAAATGTAAAATTTCAGCTTTGTGCAATGACCCTAGAACCATTTTTTTATTTGACTTTAAAAAGCTTAATTAAACTAGTACAGTGGCACTTGCTGATAATCCCAGTTACTCAGGAGACTAAGGCAGGAAATCTCAAGTTGGAGCTAGCCTGGGTAACTTAGCAAGACCCCATCTCAGAATAAAATTTTAAAAAGGGGCTGAGAATGTAGCTCAGTGGTAAAGTACTTGCCTAGCATTTTCAAAGCTCTAGGTTCAATCCCCAGTACCACCCCCCACTACAAGGCATAAGTATTTTTTTTTAAATTTCACCTTTCTATGTTACTTTTCTTCTCATATGAAATCCACAATGGTATGCATCCTCAAAGTTCCATTAGTGAAATCAATATGAGCAAAACTGATGTTTCTCTTTATTATAACCATATGTAATATGTTAAGACTCAAGATACTTTTTGACCTTAAGACCTGGTCATAAGGCCAAAGGCATTAAATTTATTTAGTGAAAACTTCTGTGGGATCCTGCTCCAATCTTCTAATACATTTTTTTCATGTTAATTCTAAATTTTGATCTTCATAACTCATGGCCCTATCCATCCAAGAAGCTCTTGGCATTCCCAGATAGATTTCTCACACCTCAAATCACTTGGGGAGGCAAATGAATAAGTCAGCTTCGAGCATGACTAGTTTAGAATAGGAAAGAAAATATATGCTCAGTGGTATTTTTGTTTATTTGTTTGGTATTAAGGAATGCATCCAGGGGCACTTTACCACTGAGTTACATCCTCATCCCTTTTTATTCTTTAATTTCAGACTGGGTCTCAGTAAGGTGCTGAGGCTGGCCTCAAACTTGTGCTCCTCCTGCTCAGCCTCCCAAGTCCCTGGGATTACAGGTGTGTGCCAATGCACTTACTGGTTTATGTTTAGTTTTTAGGCTTAAAATTTTTTGTTTTTTATTTTTACATTCAGAGCTTCCCCACAACAAGGGGAAATTCTTATGTCATATGACAGAGGACGTTAGTTCTAGAAAGTCAAGAAAAAAAAAGACTACATAAAACAAACTGTATTTATGGAAAAAAGAAAACCAGGTACTTCATTTAAAAAATCCTAAAAGCGGTACATATATTTTAGAAGTTATAAATGAATTTCTATTAGGAGTTGTCACAAAAGCAATAAACAAAACTCTATTCAATTCTAAATGATCAGTATAAAGGAAATCTAACCCAGTTTCAAATCATATTAATTTTAAAAACCCAGAAAAACATTAAACAAGGAATAAATAGAAATTCTTACACTGGTTACTCCTTGGCATAAAATTTATTTTATACAACTTGTATTTTCTTACAAAGACATTCTATATGATTTTATTCTATACATAGGCATAATAGTTTTTATATAATTAAACAATGAATAAAGGACTTTGAAATACCTATTTTGTCAAATAATATTATAGCTATAATAGTTTTCTTTTGGTTTCTATATTCTTGGTTTATCTTTTTCAATGCATTTACTTTCAACCATTCTGTCTCTTTATGCTTTTGATATATCTCTAGAAGACAGTATGTAGACTGTTTTTGTAAAAGTCCAGTTTGAATAATCCAGAAAAGATGAAAGAACTACAAACATTCAAAAAATGCTCAGCATTACTAGACATTAGAGAAATGCAAATAAAAATTATAATTACTTCACATCCACCAGAATGACTGTCATATAAAAGACAGACAACAACCACCACAGGGGAGAATATAGTGAAGTTGAACATACATATGCTGCTCTTTGGAATGTGAAATAATGCAGCCATGATTGAAAACTCAGCAAAACCATTCCTTTGTATATGCCCTAATGAAATGAAAGCACATGTGTCCACAAAACCTGTATGCATATATTCATAGCAGCATCATTCCTAATGGCCAAAAGATAGAGTGATTGATGAACTGATGAACAAAATGTGGTATATGACCACAGAAGGGAATATTATTCAGCAGGAACCTCAAAAACATTATGTTAAATGAAAGAACTCAGTCACTAATGACCACATAGCATATGATCTCATTTAAGGGAATATCCAGCACAGGAAACTTCTAGAGAGAAAAAAGTGATTAGTGATTGCCATGTCTAGTGATAGGTGAGCGGCAGAGGAAGGGATGGGGAATGACTCCTAATGGTTGCAAGATTATCTCTTGGGAGTAATAAAAATGATTCAAAATTAAGAGTAAAATTATGTTGCACCTGTAAATACACTACAGACCACTGAACTATATACTTTAATAGGCAAATTTAGAGTATGTAAATTGTAGCAGTGAAGTTGTTAAAAAAAAACATTTTGATAATTTCAATTTGAAAATTCCTTTACTTTGGAGAACTTCTTTTAACATTTCTCACAAGGCAGGGTTGCTAGCAACAAACTCCCTCAATTTTTGTCTGAGAAAGTTTTATTTATTTCACTTCTGAAGGTAATTACAGACTTCTAAGTTTGTGAGCTTTTTCTTGCAACACTTTTATTCCATTTTCTTCCTGCTTACATAGTTTCTTATCCTTGTTCCTTGATGAAGGTGTTGACATTTGCTTCTTTTGAGATTTTTCTCTTTCTCTTTGACTTTCTAAAGTATGAATATGCTATGTGTAGCTCTAAAATCGGAGGGTATTCAATTTGTTTGATATTCTCTGAACTTCTGGGTTTGTGCCTGAGTGGCTGTCATTAACTTTAGAAAGGTATCAACCACTACTTCTTTTGTTCAAATTCTCCTTCTGGTATAGTCTCATTATCTATCTTAACTGCCTTTTTTCTTTTTCTTCTTGGCTTTCCAGTTTGGGAAGTTTATACTGACTTATCTTCAAGGTCAGTGACTATATTTCAGTTGTATACAATGTAACAATGAGACAACCCATGATATTCTTCACTCCTTTTGTTTTTTTTTTTTTTAGAACAGTATAACAAGTATTTTATTTTATTTTTATTTTTTTTTAATTATTTTTTTTATTGGTTGTTCTTCACTCCTTTTGCAGTGTTTCTAATTCCTTTGATTGTTTGACAGGGTTTCCATCTCTCTGGTTACATTACTCATCAGATTTTGTATACTGTGTAAGTTTTCCATTGAAGTCCTTACATACTAATTAGTTTATTTATTTAACTTATTTTTTAGTTGTAGTTGGATGCAATACCTTTATTTTATTTATTTTATGCTAGGAGAGCCACAACCCCAACCCCTAATTAATTACTTTAAATTTGTAATATAATCCTAAAATCTTTGAGATACCTGAATCTGGTTCTGGTGCTTGCCTTTGCCTCTCCTGTTTTTTGTTTTTTTGCCTTTCAGCAATGCTTTGTAATTGATTGATGAATGCCTGATGTGATATACAGGGGTAAGTGGAACTAGGGCAAATATCCCTTTAGTGGAGGTTCTTATTTATCTGGCAAAAAGAAAGGCTGTTTACTGTTTGTTGTAAACAAACTATAGACTTGAGGTTACAATTTCCTCTAGTATCTGTGTTTTTGTTATCCCTATTGTCTTAGGTTTCCATAGGTAAACTTTAAACAGTCTGAGCTTTGCAGTTACTTCAGTTATAATCCTGTTATTACAGAGGAGCCTCACTGACTGTTAAGGTACAGGCAGCGGGGAAACCATTCTTTAATCCTGATTACTTCTCAGTTCTTTAGTGGTTTCTGCCTCTTCCTTATGACCCTCCTTAGGTAGACAAGAAAGCAGGAGGAGTCTGAGTTGGATAATTGCCATCCCCGATTTTGGTAAGATTCTGATAGAACTCATGTTGTTCAAGTGCTGGCAAAATAGTTTCTGAGGGCAGGCCTTGTTAAGGAGAACAGAAAGCTCTAAGTGATTTTAAAATGTTTACTTTCCCCCACCCACTGCCATAAATGAATTTTTTTCTTCCTTCTTCATCCTGAGATCCCGGAGAGGCATGAAAACTCATGAAAGTCTGGAGGTTTTCCTAAGTCTGGGTCCCTCAGATATTTTTTATTTCTTTATCTAGTCAAAACTTGGTATCTAGCTATTAGACAACGGCCCTTTAAGTATTCCTAACAGTTCTGGCTCTAGTAGTTTGCTAACCTTGATTATTCTCTGTATTAATTTGGCACTCCTGTTTTCAAAACAATTTTCTTGATTCTCTGAAGAATCTTAAAAGTTGTTGGTTTGGGGTTGTTATTAGCTTTTTTCTTGTTGTGAGGACAGAAGTGTGAACATCTAAGCTTTTTACCTGTCAGACTGGAAATCAGAACTCTCTCTTCCTCTTTTCGTTGTCTCAATGATGCCTCCTGGTTGATATTCATTC